AGAAAGAGGCAATACAGTTGGTCCAGGCCTTCATTATTGCCAGACTGACGTACGGCACTCCGTACCTGAACTTGAACAAGGCGGAGATGCAAAAGCTAAACGTACTGATAAGGAGAGCGTACAAAAACGCGCTGGGGCTACCGGAGCGTACGGCGACCGAGAAACATGCTTAAACTTGGGGTGCATAACACCATAGAAGAACTTCATGAAGCTCAACTAGTGTCACAGCTGAAGCGACTCTCTTCCACAGTGAATGGAGCGTGGCTTCTGGACAAACTGGGAACGGCAGTACCCGGCGGTTCTCACGGGCCCGGAGACGCGGGGGAAGAGCTGCCGGCTGAGACCCGGCAGAGATTCACGATCAGTAGAATCCCCCGCAACATGCACCCGGATAGGAATGCGGAACGGAGACAAGCGCGAGCGGTGGCCCTAGCGCGTTCCTGGGACAGCAGAGAGGGAACCCTGTACGTGGATGGAGCCGGTCCGGTGCTGGGGGTGGCTGCAATAGCGGTGGCCAGTGCGCAAGGGCAGATCAGACGCCTCGCCTCCATACGAGCACAGACGGTTGAACAAGTGGAGGAGGCGGCCATAGCATTGGCGGTGGTTTGCAATCCTCGTGCGACGATAATTTCGGATTCACAAAGAGCTTGTCAAAACTTTGCGCGAGGGGTCGTGGGTCAACCAGCTCTAAGGCTCCTCCGCAAAACCGCAGTAGAGGGAGTACATCTGATCTGGACCCCCGGCCATATGGGCAAGTCGGAAACGAGGCGGCGAATGCTGCGGCCCGAGGTGCGTTATACCGGGACTCGGTTCTGCCCCAGAGGGATCTGGACAGTGCGCTCACTTACAGTGAGGCCTTAAAGGCTCTACGAACACATAGGGCAGAATATCCTGGGCCGGCCAAAGGTCTCAGCAAAGAAGAAGAGTTCACGTGGAGACGACTTCAGACGGACACGTTCGTCACACCGATCCAGCTACATCTGTGGTACCCAGAGCGGTACGCCACGGCGGACTGTCCTTTCTGTGGTGAGCCCTGGGTGGGCGTTTATCACGTTGTCTGGGCATGCAAGAACCTCCCAGGACTGGCTCCAGTCGAGGAGCCCAAACTCGAGGAGTGGGAAGCGGGACTCAAGTACGCGACGGCTAGCGAGCAGAGGCTGCTCGTGGCCCGAGCACTCCGAGTTCACTCCGCACTTGGAGCCCCGGAATAGGGGCACACAACCACTCTCTCCTTTTTCTTCCCCTTTCTCCCCTTCCCTTTCCTAAATCTTTCAACTCAATAAAGTTTTTCAACAACAACAGGCTGTATAAACACAGACACAACCCAATATGAACGCGTGCGGCGCGTCGTCTCATCTTCCGCGCGAGATACGCGTGCTCAGAACGCACTCCGCAGCCCCGGAGACAAAAATGGCGGCGTGCAGAGAGCGGTTATTGCGATGGGTTCGAGTCACTCGCAGGTTCAGAGAATCAGGGCGTAACGATTTCCGACCTTTTTTCGATTGCTCCTCGGCCAATCAGATTGCGAGCCGACGAGGAAGGTGAAGAATGCCAAGCAAACGGACATAATAAATCCCTGCGTTTTTTTGTTTTGTTTTTTTGTTTCTTTTTTGGTTTTCTATGCTTCGAGTGATTATGCGGAGCGTAAGTTGGCCCGCTCTTGCGCGGGGGTCGCGGTGACGTCGCAACGGCGAGTTCCGATTGGCTTTGATGGAAAGAACAGTGGGTAGAGCTCAGTGCTGGCTGCCCCGAGGTCTGCCCACGATCCTTCCAGCTCAGTCAACCGGGGCTCGGCGTTCTGACGTCACCCAACCCCCTGCTCAAGAGGCGGGCGAACTTGCGCTCTCCATACACAGCAAGCCTATCGTGTTGAATTTTTGTACATCGCCTCCAGCACACCATGGCACAAATTTGACGTAGGTGCCGCGTCAGCGTTCGGCTGGGGCTCGAATAGAGTGAGGCCACGAGACCCAGCTCAACGGTGACGCGCACTCCGGTCCAAACTGTGCCTCCGGTAGGTGAAGAAGAAAGTTCAGCATGGCCTCGTTTTCTAGGAGGCATTGAGCTGGGGCCCCGCCCTTGCTCTTCCTCTGGACCCAATTTAAACAGCTATGGTCAAAATCGGAGCATCGAAACGAAGACGCGGTCGCACTGCCAACAGGTCGCGCAGGAGACAGCATGTAGACACTATCTGAGGTATTCCTCGTATGACGATCGCGTATAAAACTTTCTGTAGACAAGTTCGAATCGTGTGCGAAGCAAACTTGCTTGAACATGCTTATGGTTCCTGGAGCGCGTCTTCGACTGGTGTGTTCAGCGCCCGATGCTGCCCAAACTGGTCCCGAAGTGGCAACAAGTGACGTCACACAAGCACGAATGCCATGCTATTGCGTGTCGCGATCCTGGCGGTTGGCCCTAGAAATGCTAACAAGGAGGCTGCGAGTAGCAAAAGCGAACGTGAGTGTCGCTGTCGTCACGGCATTCCAACTTTTGGCTCCCAAAGCTTTCGTGAACTGTCCTACTGGACAGCGACATGCAGCAGAACAGGCGTCTGCCAGATAAACCACAACTGGTCTGACGCCGCCAGGGTCGCGACTGGTGACAGTACGACACTTGTATGACGTCCCCAGGCGGAAATCGAGGTATCCCTTTCTTGGACGCGGTAAACACACCAGTCGGAGACGCCTTCCAGGCCCCATAAACATACTTGAAACGTGTCCGCAGGTGCTTCTGTCATCGTGTCTGCGGATCGTATCTATTGCATACCATGGATGAGCAGTGCGGCTGCTGCTTAGTTAACAAGTACAGAAGGTCATCTTGGCACCTCACTGGCGGGAACATCTCGACTTCCTTAGTAAGTGAATATCACGTGGAACAGACCTATAATGAGTATTCGCTGGAGGCCATAGCTGTGTGCGCGAATGCTGAGCGCGTGCTGACGGCGAGCTTCTAGAGTTCTTTTGCAACGTGCATTTCCCACCATCAAGAGTGCCGGTCTTAGCAGCCTATTGATGTGAGCACGTTCTGAGCATGCGCTCTAAACAGCACCCACAAGCATGGCGTCCAGTGATTACTCCCTATTGCTAAATTACCATAAAAAAGAATGCTGAGAATGTAGGTCTGCGCGCCGCGCGCTCGCCTTCCCCGTATTATTCCCTCGGGGAATTCGGTGCGATACAAAAGCGCTCTATGCTCGCGCCATTAGTGCGGTAAATGAATGCGAGCCCTGGCTTGCGCTCCCAAAAAGATGGTAACGAAAAAAAAAAACGCTGAAAAACAGCTTTTTATGCACCGAGGGTATAGACTTATTCCGAAACTCGACTCGCCTTATCGCGGCGTAATTCCACGTAATGCATTGTGGGAATCAGTGGGAAGCAAAGACCCACACGCTCTCCGCTCCTGGCCAACAGGTTCCCAGAATGCAACGCGCGCGGTAAGAGATTTATGGAAGTAGGTTATTCCCCGTGAATTTGTAGTACGGGTGGCGATCTTTCGCTTGACGAGTCAGATCCGTCATACACCGAGCGCCACTGTTAGCGCGAACACGATAGTGGCGCTTTTTTTTTTTAATTTTATTGCTGAAAGATAGAGTCGAGCATTGTATTTTACAGCTCCAGTTAGTGCCAAAAATGAGCAACTGCCATTACACCACAATCAATGACAACTTGTGATGAGCCGGGAGCACCTTAATATTTTTACGTACCCAATCAGAACGCGGCATCAGTTGATAAAAGCGCCGAAAAAGGAATCACGAAGCAAGAAGCGCGATCATAATAAGCTGGCTATGTATTTCTGAAGTTCTTAGTAACTATTGTAGTTCGAATGACAATGTATCAATTCCCAAATTAAAAAAAACAAAAACGAGTGGTTGCATGTTTGCGCTAACGGTGTCGCGCTGGGTACATTGCCGTAATTTTCAATAGACCCTTTTTCGAAATCCCATCAAGCAACATTGGCGGCAACCATCTCTTGGACACGAAGCGTCCGACCGGGTACGAGTCCGCGCCGAACGATGACGCGGACCTCGATCGTGTGCAATACAGGCCCAAAACAATGACGGACTCGGATAGTTGGCGTAGCAGCCACTAGATGGCGCGCTCTATGACTCTATGACCCTGCTCTATGGCAACAGCTTGGGCAGCCGCCTTCTGTTCGAGGCGCGAGCGGGCGCTCTACGAACTCTGGTATACCGGGAGCGGTTTGACCCCAAGGTGGTTTTCACGATGTGCCGCGCGTGCAGAGAAGAACCTGAGACAGTTGAACACCTAGTGCTCTACTGTGAGTGCCTGCCGCCAACCCCACTGGTAGATCGCCGGCTTCACTCAGAGGCGATGCTAGCATATGCACTGGGCTTTAAAACGACGGCTGACTCAAACAACCCCTACACGGGCGAAGCAGACGACCCTCCACAAGACAGGCATGACATTTCTACCATGCAGTGCGTGCGAAGGACGAAAGCGCGACTGGAACACTGGTGGAAGAAAATTTAAAACAGATAGCTTATAGTTTTTTTTTTTTTTTTTTTTTTGGCTAGGGCACGAAGACTCTTCGAGCTCGCCCGGTATAAAGGGAAAAGCCGCATCATCATCATGATCATCATCATCATCAACCGAGTCGTTTATACTGGGAGAGTTTGGCCAATGGGCGGAGCTTGTTCCCCGCTAGAACCAGCGGATTTCGCGATAACTCAGAATGGCGTTACTTCTTTCTCTCCTTTATTCCCGAAAAATCGCGTAGAATTCCCGAGCCAGAGCCCCAAAATGGCGGTCGGAAGTAGCCATGCCCAGGTTGTCAGACTGCGCTGCTGTGGTTGTCAGACACTAAAAATCCCCTTAATTAAGAAACCAAACTCTCAGTGAACGGTTCTGTTATGAAAAGATTGTGAGTGAGCTTCAAGCCCGTTCGAGCGCGTCATCAGCTTCTCGACTCAATCCTCGGGCTTAGATCGCCACCACTGTCATCATCATCATGATAAACCTACCTGTGCGTCGCTACTACAGAGCCTAGGAGTGGACACGGCCATCATCACGGAGTCCGACGTGGAAGGTCACAATGGCGTGGTGCACGTCGTCAATCGAGTGCTCGAGCCACCGCAGGGCAGCGTCATGGAAGTCCTGGAGAAAGACGACCGCTTCAGGTTTGTTAATTTGAGACAGTAAAACGTGCTCGCTGAGATTAGGGAGTTTTAGGGAACCGTTTTTGCAGATCCCATACGGTACGATGGGCCCTCCTGCACGAACTGCGCATGCGCGAATCTTCTGCGGTAGCGCATGCGCAGTTCATACCGGAGGGCCCAACGTACCGTATGGGACAGGCAAAAACGGTTCCCAACCACTCTCTAATAGGAAGTTCTAGCGAGTCGGCTCACACAAACGGTTCGTCCTCAAACGCATCGGCGACGCCACTGCGCATGCGCGCGCAGGTAGTTGCGGTCTTCGGGAGGCTCTTCTCGTTCGTTTCTCCCTCTTCGGCTGCCGGAGTCATCACCGGCCGGAACGTAGCCAGCACCGTTCACGACTCGGATCAAAAAGATGGCGGTCGGGTTGTTCGCCGCCGCAGCCGAGCGTTAGGCTTAAGACAGCGGGAGGCGATTTACCATCCATGTTACTCTGCTTCATTTGAGAGGCTGAACCAAATCATTTCGAGGACAGTTCACAATGGATAAGCGATCGCAAATGCTGTAAACTACGCGTGCTAGTAATTTTTTGCGATCTGTGGGCTGACTAGCTGCCGTGGCGACCGCGAGCAGACGAAATTATTTGGTTCGACATGACACAACGTGAACGATCGTTCAAGGGTAAGATGATGGAGACACTCCACCTAACTTCGCTGTCGTTCAGACACTATTTACTCTATCTAGCTTCGCAGGTCTTGAAATTCCGAACGCTAAATGTTACGTCGGCCGTCTTGTTTACATCAATTGTACGCTGGAAACGCGAGCCGCCACAGTTTTTCACGGTGCAGAATGTATCGCATGCTTACCACAAGATGGCGCTGCCGGTCAAACACAATAATCATCATCATTTACAAGGTTGCGCCAGCTTTACGATTCGCTAAAATAAGTTAAATTTAGCGTACGGTTTGACAGGACGGACCATCTGAATCGTTCATGATTTCGGAACGTGCGCTCCAAAAGCGACTCACTAAAGCTATTAACAAAAGCAAAATATACGGTTCTTTGCGCTGCTCTCACAGTAGTCCGACGCACCCTAGTCCGACGGCACTGCAACTATGTTCTATGTACTACCGCGCTGTTAAAGAACAGCCGCGGTTCGCTTGACCAGGTGCGTGCACTGCGCGTGCGCGGAAACCAGATTTGCCTGAGGTGGTCCGCGCATCCTGCATGCGACAGCAGCGCCACCGCAATGGTGTGACGTCAGAAGAACAGTCGAACTTGTCGAAAGGTTGAGTTTGTGTTTGAAATTCACGAACGCTAGAACCGGTGATTCTCGGCGGGCCTTACCTAAGAACGTTCTATACCGTTTCGGAAGAAGCAACAGCTGCAGAAGCTTTATTTTTGAAAGGCCAACGAGAGAATAGAAAGATTACTTGCGAGCGAGATGACATTTTTCGGTGTTCGTGCTCATGCGTCTGCTAACTTTCCGAAGGGCGAAACACGCGAGTGCTGTGCTGGCTTATGCAGCGGCTGTGGTATACGGCAGTGGAGGTTCCAGGTCTTGGGTAAACAAACGCACGAGGTACGCGAGGAGCAGACAAACTTGCACTCCGTATAGCTTCGTTTCAGCTTAAAGGCCGACCAACAAGCGGAAAGGAGGACACCCTCCGTCAATTCCTCCTTTCCATTCGAGAAAGAGGGAGACCCTCACTCTGCGGGGAGTTGTAAAGGGTCTGGAGTTGTTTTGAGACCCGCTCCTGTGGGGAGACAAGGACACAAGAGTGCAACAGTGAATAGAGATGAGGACATTAAGAACCAGCTTTTATCCTGGCAAAAAAAAAAGAAGAAAGCTCCTGCAGGTCGGCCTTTAAACAAAAATTAAAGACGTTTTTGAAGAAAAAAGCTCGAGGTACACCTAAGCATGTCTTATGAGTTGTGAATGCGAAAGCATGCAAGCCTCTCGTCCGCTCCCTTTGTCGTCTGCTTGTCGGCTCCCTTTGTCATCTGCTGCGTACTAGTGCGTTGTTGTTGTGAGCGTTGGAATGAAATTATGGATAGAAAAAAGAGTCAATATTGTACTAGTGCGCGCGCGCTTCGGGATCTCGGAGGACATGGCGCAGCGGCCAATGGGGAGCGATCGACGCGCGCCAGCCAATGGAACCGAAGGCAAATCGCTGCTATTGGGATCGCGGAAACTAGAAGCCGTTTTCGCGCTTTAATGTGATGACGTCAGCTCGCTGCATGAGACAGTTAATGCTTTCGCGTTGAAGAAAAAAAAAAGAGTTATGGGTGAACTTTAGCGTATTTTTGTCCTGAAAATTTGAATATCTCGAGCATCTGTCCCGAACATAGACGCGAGAAAAAAGCGAAAACCCAACCGGTGCGTGTGACTTCATAGCCAGAGGTTTCAGCTGCCTCGCGCGTGTCACATGTAACGGAACGCGTGCAACGCATTTGACTGCTCGGGTAAGGATTGCGGAACGCGAGGAAATGTTGAGATATCTATTGTTTGTCCCGAGTCCCTCCTCGCGCCAAAGGCGGCGGGAAGACCGTTTGCATGTGTGCATCATTTTTCGTTTTATGTAGCGGTATCTTCTGCACGCTAGCGGTTGACCATTGTGAGGTCCCAAGGGCTAGTTAAGCTGCACACCGCAATTTTTTTCCTCGAGCCACCGATCATAATCGATGAAAACAAAGATGATGATGGTGAATGTTATTATTATTATTATTATTATTATTATTACTACTATTATTAAGTGGATACAACAGTGCTCTCAAAAGACCACTGTTGTATATACTTGGGGCATAAATCAGAATTATAATTTTGGTATTCGTAATCATAGAGACGAAATAAAGTCAATTTAGGTGTTTTTTTCTCAAATGCAGAACCACTACAGTTTCCCTAAGTCCAAGCGCAGCCCACGCTATGAGCTAATGGAACCAATGCGGACAGAAAGTCGTCTGCTTCCTGCGCATGAGTTGCGGTGACGTCAGAATGACGCCGAGTTCTGATTGGCTTTGATTGAGAGGATAGGGGGTGGACCTCAATGCTAGATGCCTTCAGGTCTACCCACAATTTTTTGTCAATCAGTCAATAAGAGATCGGCGTTCTGACATCATCGCCACCCCTGCAAAGACGCAGACGAACTTGCGCTCCGCAAATAGTAGCATCAAAAGCGCAATTCACTGGACATTTTCTGCTTATGAGTTGATCAGCGATTATAGGACACACACAAAAACACAACGAACACCATGATGATACGCTTTTGACTCTGCCTGATTGATGCCATCAGCTCGTAGCGTTAGCTACGTCTAAACTTAAAGCGAAGTATATTAATAATAAAAAATGCAACTCTTTACTTCATCTCTGCTGCAGAATGGTAGTTCACACCGCATCGCGCAATGGTATTCCCACGAATCCACCTGTGGTGCTACACCATCGCTCCCTGCCAATCGCTTGCCTTCTTTTCTCCTCGCAGTTTGTTCGCCCAGGCTCTAAAACGTGCACGGGAGCTACAGCTGGTGAACAACTACACTCAGACCGTCTTCGCACCCACCAATGAAGCGCTGAGCGACTACGCCACTGACCTTGAGAACCCACGTATCCTCGAAAATGTGAGTTGTTCGACTTCCAGTACACCAGTCCGGTAGAGGAACTGTATGGCAAAACCAGAGTATCGCCTTCCTTTTGCTTTCGTCACAAAGTCCTGACTTACGGAGTACGGGTTATATTGTCATATGCGCCAAATACGTCCGAAGCTTTTTCGGGGAGGAGGCCTTGCGGAGCGTCGTGTTTGGGGAAGGACATATTTTTCGCTCTGCGTTCGCGAAATACAGATCTTGTACTCGAGTATATGACATGGAGGAATAATCTTGAACCTTCAGACATTGTGCGTGAAGCATGAATTTGGTTAATAGCGTTATTTCCATAACGCGAGCGCAGATTCAGAGCTGCCGTGAAAACGTAGACGACGCGGTGACGTCGACGACGCAGCTCGCGCGTACGTGCACTTCTGAGGGGCACGGGATACACACGACGGCGCATGCGCGGTGAACCGCCGCCTCACTTCTCGCTCGCCGCAACTCCTGCAAGGGCAACGGTCGGTTTCCGCTATACTTAAAGGCCGAAATTAGGGACCATTGCGATAATCGGCTGCGAGAGAGTTACGCTACATTCCAAAATCCTGCAGCGCCCCCAGTGTCTTTAAGACACATTACGTCAGTCTGATATACAGTGGGAACTAAAAAGGATTAACCCAAGTGGTCGACAGACGAAGCGGGAAAATAGTCGCACGTGGCGTTGCAGCGTACCGAAGACACCTAGAGTCGATGTCTTCGCTTACTCCGCGAAAATCCAAAGACTTTGGCGCCGGGAGCTTTCACGTAGTTGGAACGGCTGGACGGGTGCGCAGCCTCGGCGGTTTCCTCATTTGAAGTAGGAGGGGTTTCTGCCGCAGTCCACTGTCGCAGAAACCAGTCGAGACAGCGGAGACAGTCGTCTTTGCTGTCACGGCGAATTTGGTGTCTCGGGGCGTTGGTGGCAGCCCAAAGTGCGACTGTGCGACGCAACGTGCGTCCTCTCGGACGCGGGGTTTCCCTACCGCTAGGGGAAGATTTAGCGCAGGAGGCGCGCTGTCTAATTAGAGAGCTTCGATTGAAGAGAGGGTCCATCTAAAATCGCGGGGAGCGTTTGCAACTTAATAATGGACGCCTCGCCCGCCGCAGGGATTGGTCGCAAGTGCGCATGCGCTGCGTTGTCGCGTGGCGGAGAGGAAAGCAGGCGTGAAGGCGGAGGCGCTCGTAGACGACCAACGTTTGGTCATCGTTTTCGTCGCTTCCTCGCAGCTCGTTTTGCAAATGCGGCCTATAAATTACGCGACTCCCGTAGAGCAGTTCGAAATACTCTGTCAGTCTAATGCAAATGAGCTTAATATAAGAAATTATCTTAATAAAGTATTTGATGCCACTGTCGGGTTATTTACCACCTCTCCAGCTCTATTTGCGGGACTGCAGCGCCACGTCTTGCGCTTCTGTCCCCCTGGCAATCGTTCTTTGCGCTAATCCTTTTTGTGCTGACTGTTCGGCGCGTGAAAAAGCGCCCGCGAATAAAAAGTGTAATTCGTGTTGCTTTTGTCGTTTTGCGATTTTAGTTGGCTTCGGTATTTCGTATACGAGTGACAGCAAGCACTGTCCGTTTGCGTTAGCGTTTCGTGTTCCACACTGCGCGTGCGCGGAGCTCGAACTGCAGTCCTGGATTGGCGCATGGCGACGCACAGCGCTTGCATTCCTTTACGCATGACTAAAACTCTATTTTATAACGCAATGGAAGGTAGGACGATAACGAAACAGTGTACATATCGGCTTTGGTGCGCGTTCGTTTCGTTTTCTTCGTGTGCTCCGAGCTCACAGCGATAAGGGAGAAGAGATCGCGCAGCTTTCAGGCTGCACAGAGCACGCAAGTAGGTAAGAGCAGCCATATATAGCGCACATCGTATAACGATCCCACAGTTTTTCCGTCCCTCGTGATATTTCCCTTAATCCTCCCTCGTGAGATTTAGTATAGATTGAGAGAAGTCTGGGGCACATCCGTTGCGCGCCTCGACCACGGGGGGCCAGAGCCACTGGCACGAAGATGCGCTCCGATAGGAACCCAAAACCTAAAAACGCGCCCAAAATAAGCTATTTTTTTTAACGCTGTAAATGTTGTACATGCTTTATGCGTCGCCGAGAAACTGAGGGAGAAAAGAAAACAAGAAAAGGGGGGGGGAATAATTATTCGGTAGACACCAAGCTAGCTGCATTTGTCTCCAATGCACTCGTTGAATGCTTTCGAATGCGAAATGCCAAACGTCGGACGCCGGCGTTCCGCGTTCTAACGCTTTTGCCCAGTGCAGTGGAGACAAATGCAGCCAGCTTTAGGTCTACCATAGGCTCGTATAGAGGAGGCTATGGGTCACCCCATTAGTCTGTCCAATCACAGTTCTGCGTTCTGACGTCTCCGAGCGCTATTGTATCCTTCTTTTCCTCAGTTTATCGGCGCATATCTTTCCAAAAGGAGCTGACTCAGTGGCTTTCGGTGATGCTCAGCATGTCTCTGATTGGAACCAAATGTCTACTTTCACTAATTAAGAGGTTAATTAGAAATTGTGTTTAATTATTTGGCTAACTTCTATGCTTTTTCTCCAATCCCTCACGTCCGCTGTGGCTGGCAGCTTGTTCTTATCAAAAGTCTTCTGTTTTGCTCAGCCACAATATTCTTAGGGATTTTTGAAAGTATTCGCTGGGCACCCGCTGAAAAAAAAAAAAATTGTACGCACTCTGACTAAGTGAAAAACAAACAAACCAAAAGCTCTAAAAACAGTTCCACGTGACTACGGAGTCATTGCAAGGTGAAAACAACAACGGCAATACAGCACATTCATGTAACACTAGGGACATCTGTAAGTCCGCTGCTCTACCGTGCTAGAACTTCAATGGTTATCATAAAAAAGTATAAACAAAATCTTTACTCGTTTTATAGTCGTAACAAATTTAACAATACCTTAAAAGACCCTTTTCAAAACGCCATGAAGCAACATTGGAGGTCGCGAGTTTTTAGAACCCGAACAGTGATCTCTATTGTAGTATTGGCGCGATCACGGATAGGATCTTCTTTTACTAAGTTCGCACGGCACCGTCGGCAGCGATCGGTTGACACAAGCTAATGCATAGGATTCTCTGGAACAAACGGGGAAAACTGAAATTTCTTACCTTAGTAGGTTGTTCCCGACGATGAAACTTTTATCATGTTTTCCTCGATTGGCAGCTAATATTCTGGGCGCAAATATTGAAAGCGTCAGAGTACCAATCTTTTTTTAAGAAATATTTTGTTGTTGAGGTTCGAGGACTGTGACTTTGGAAACTGCAATGGGGTTCAATGAGACGAGGGTTGTCGAGAGTCAATATGGAGTCGTTCGCGATCTCAAAGTGAACAGAGTTTAGCAGACGATAAGTTGGAAGGCTTTTACTGGGGACCTTCACATCGTTTCAGGCCCTTGCACAGAGCACGTTTCGTGCAAGCTTTTTGCTTTGAACTGCAGTGAGGGCTTCTGTGACAAACCGCAACTCGGAGCCTGTCGTTCATTGCTCGAACGTGTCATTTATTTAGCAACTGAAGCGAGCAACGGAGGCACAGTCAAAGGTGCTCCGGTACATTTTATGTTATTTTTAATCTGCGTTCGACCACTGGACAATCAACAATTCGGTATTCAAACCCCCGATACAATGATCGCAGATCATCATAAGGTACTCGCTTTTGAGCGCCGCGTACAAGCTTTGTGCCTGTTTCATTTTATTTCATTTATTATACCCTTAAAGCAGCCATAGGGCTTTGTACAAAAAAAAGGGGGGGGGGGGGGCAAGTACAACATAATCAATTCAAAACACAAACATAAAAAAAAATAAAGCAAGAGAACAGGTGTTACGGTTGCTATGTGTTTAAATAAGTGGTACGAGAAGTTCTGAAACCAAAGGGTTCTTGGATGATTACAATATTACCATTCGTTTCTAGCTAACTGTAATGGTAAAAATTTTAAAAAAGTTTGTTCGTGGGGTGACCAAATGAAGTTTTTGCGAATTGTCAGTACGCGCGGAAATGATTTTTTTTGGCGAATTTTTCAGTACGCGCAGTACGCATATACGCGTACTGCGCGTACTGCGCCTACGGCATAAGGGTAGCAGGCACTAAATTGCGCATCCTTTTAAAAAAAAAAAGTCAATTGGCCGTTTTTTTTTTAATTAGATTAATGTGGCGCTTCCTTTCTGAGCGCGCATAACTGCCAGCATAAGCCCCCGTCTACACGAATTAACGCAATTGCGTACGTTTCGAAAAAGGAGGACAACCATTGGGTAGAACAGTGAGGAAGAGGGGTACTGGGTGCGTGTGAATAGTCGAAGCCCGACTCGATCCAACTACGTGGCATTCGTGGAAGCGCGGCTATGGAAGGAAAAGTGAACAGCGTATGCATGAAACGAGTGACCTGCTTTGGCAGCTCCTTCAGTCATACCGGTTTCACGCAACTCCGTCCCCCGGACAGCCGTGATCGTATAGTGGTTAGTACCTTGCGTTGTGGCCGCAATAACCCAGGTTCGAATCCTGGTCACGGCAACACTTTTTTTGTGTAGCAACTTTTTTTTTTTTTTAACGCGATAGCGTTTCGGAGTTAGTGACTTCTTAACATACTTTGAATGTTTCCGAAAACGCCTGTGTATGAATCCTTGACGAAGAAAATAAAATACCATTTGAACAAGCAAGGTGTTGTTAATGCATGCTACACGCCGGTGTTCTAACCTAATTTTGAAATTCCGCTCACCCATTCGATAAGTGCTTCCTTTTCTTCGCGTGCCACCATGGCGACGAACTGCAACCGGCGGAACGTCCAAGCAGGGCCGGTCGTCTGCCTGGTCTGCCCAGACAGCAGCCCAGAAAAAGCAGACATGCTGAGTTCGCGAGATTTAAAGGGATTTTCCGGTCGAAACCGGTCGAAATCGTTACGTCGAGGGAGCCTTTATATAGACAAATGCCATTTTTATTTTGATATATGATCTCCCGTTATTAATTAAACCTTTCATGAGCC